GGGGGAACCAGGGGAGTCCCGGCTGGCTGCTGGAGACTGTGTAGTCTGGGGTCACTCGGGAGACTTGTTAGTGTGTACGTCTCTGTCTGTGTGTTTTGAAGAGCAAGACCGCAGAGGCAGCTGGCTGCCCGAGGGGAGGAGGAGGGGAGGGGTTAAGGGAGTCTCACGTGACTGCTAGGGGAACCATAAGGTCTGAGGTTCAACTGGGAGACCTGAGAGAGTGCGAATCTGTCTGTCTGTGCATGAATGCCAGCACATGTGGGTCTTTATCTCTTTAAGGGCAAGGCCACAGGGGAGTTGGCTACCAGGGGGACCTGAGGAGTCCCAGCCAAGTGCCAGGGAGACTATGGAGCCTGGACCACAATTGAGACCCATTTGTGCATAGGCGTCTGCTGTGCGTGTGTGTAACCAACAACTGGAGTGGGGCTGTGGGCCTTGGGAGCATGCATGCCCAGGTGCCAGCAACTGAGGAGAACAGGAATCCAGGGGCAGTTGCTGGATGAACTGAGTGCCTAAGACCAGCGACTGGAGGGATCCACATTGTCCATATGTAATACATACATCCCACTAATGGAGCTTCCTTCTGATCAGCCAGAGAGGGGAACAGGATGAAGCCATTGGCGCTGTTTGTGTTTGTGTGAGTGCTGCGTGTGTCTGTCCATGTTGATCTGTGTAGCTGGCCATCTATATAAGCATATGACTGTACATAAATGTATATATTTATACACACACACACACACACACACACGTATGTATGCATGCTGTGTATTTGTGCTTGTGTGGGTACCTACTGGGAATACACATTCTCAGCCTAACCACTGGTTGGACCTGGGGTAATGGAGCTGCGGCAGGTTCAGCCTCCTCACCTAATGATCATCATGCAAAAAATTCTTCCAAAGCAAGCTTTACATAACATTAAGTATTTTAAGGTCTGCTTGGCCTCTTTAACACAACTGAATAGAAGGCAAAGCAATGCCATGCCACTTTCCACCGCTTCATGGACCATGGATCAAAAATATCAGGCCTGCCATTAAGCTATGCCCAAATGTTTGCCTACTAAAGCTGCAACACAAGAGATAAGCAAATCTGCAATGATCCCTGAACATGCTCTAGTTCAGTTACAGAAAACACATGACATATCGAGCTTTTGGGTCACCCGTTCCTGAAACTACTGGGCCTTTGGCTCATGACAGAAATACTGCTTTACAGTCATTACAGTTTTCTCAGAAACACTGGTGTTTGGCTCTAGTGGAATTTTTCAGAATTGCAGGGCACTGAGAGAAAAGCCAACGAGAAGAGAAAAAAGACTTCAGTAGCTCTGGAAGAGCTGCTATACAGAGCTTCCACAGGGTATTTTAGTGCACAGGTTGTGGGCCTGGAAAGGTGCTGTAGCAGAACGGCTTGGCCTCTAATACTGCAGAACATGTATACAAAGAAAAAGGAAAAAACAGTACCACAAAGTTTAGGCCTCTTATGATGCTCTACTATCAACCGAAATTTATAACGCAGCTGCCTGAAACAGTAGCTGTTTGTTGTCCTCTTCAAGTCCACACACTGCTTTTTATACCTTAAGGACTAAATTCCACAGGGCAAAAGCCAGACTTAAATTCTGCCCGGAAATTTGGGTGGAATTCAGCTTATTTCAAGAAGCACAACATATACAGTCATTGCTCTCCTGCCAGGGTTCTCTTCCTGATTTATTTTTGTTATGCACTCTTTCAGCTGAGCACTGCCAGGACCAACTTCCAGGTACAGAGCCTTCTTCAGGAGATGGATGACAAAAATGGGAAGAAGGGATAAGTAACAGGGCTGCTTCTTTCCCTCTTGGAAGGCTTTCGAGCCTCTCCTGCTCCCCCTTTTCCTCAGAAATCTCTCAATCTTCAGTTTGCTCACAGTTCAACGAACAGCGGAGGAAGGTGGGGAAAAGGTAGACAGGTAGACAAATAGGCAGGAATAGGGTATTCCAGTCTCAAACACTGGCTGTCTAGTTTCTAAAAAACTAACGGCAGTAACAACTGAAGTATAAAACAAATACGGTTTAGGCACAGCATTGTGGAGAATAAAGCATCAGTCAGAAGGAAAATTTGTCCTTAGCTCACTTGACTCTCAACATGCTCCAATTCGTGCACCAAAGCCGACCAGCCCTAGTTTTTCCAAACGGCCTAAAATTAATCCTAGCAAGAGACAAGCCATAGGATAGCATCCGTTCTGTTCAATTTGGGACAGCACTGAGAGCAGCTGGTGCAGAGCAGGATGTCTCTAAGCTAATCACTAAATTGATATCAAGTCCCAGTGGGCTCCTACTATCATCTACATGCACAAGTAAGAGCCAATTAAGGAAAAGAGTGTTATTCCCTCTTCTATCCCCTCAATCTCTCAAGCCTGAGAATTAACATCCCTAAAAAGAAAAAAAAAATTATGTAAGTAGTTAAATAGATATGTCTTCTTTTAAACAGAGATTATGCAGTGAAACATCCAAAGAGTATTCAGTCTTCTGGAAAATATGTATCATGTGGTCAGTTTAAACAAACAAAATATAATCCACTTTTTTACAGCACACAGATTGAGACATGGGTGCTAAAGAAGGGTTTGAGAGACTTGTAGGTTTGGGTTGATTAAGAGTTGTGTCTCACTTATGTCCCATAGTCAAGGCCTTACCTTTATTTGCAAGTGAAAACACAAAATAAAAATCAATCAGCTAGTTTTTCAGCCAATATGCTCTAGTTTGCCAAGGCTGTTTGCTTTGTCGCCTTTCAAATGATCAAAATAGAGCTCTCACAAAATCATGCAGAGCTGATTACCTACCTGAAAAATATGCTTATAAGCCAGTGTCATTTTTAAAAGCAAAGGCAGGAACTGAATCTTCTCCTAGCAACTTTTAAATAATGTAAACTTTATGCCAATGAAGTAATTCTTGTATTTACAAGAAATCCTTTAATGGATTTCTTGAAAAATGTCATTTAGAACAGGAAGCTACACAGCTGCAAAGCTAGCATCATTTTAAATTGTTTAGAAAATACAGTGAATATACGATTAAGTTGAGAGCAAGCACAGAGGTACAGACCTATCCATCTTCCTGCGTAGGTCCATACTTATCCACATCTGGCTTAATGCTGCACTGGGAGATGGAAGATCAGACCAAAGATAGGTAAGTATGCAAAGAAAATTAAGGGAGAAAAACATCTTAGAATGGAACCACAAGGAGGAGCATCAGGTTGACAGTGTATACTTCTCCGTCACTGTGTTGTTGTGAGGCTGCAGCAGAGTCAAAAGTTTTAAAGCAGCTGCGAACCTATATACCATACCAGGAATTCTAAACCTTGGGATATTCAATATTTTCCTTAGAGGCTCAGTTTCTAACACTGTGAGACTAAGAGAAAGTCTCAGATCTTACTTCTAAAGTTAAGTAACCAACATTGATAAATTATGAAAGAACAGAGATTTGCAAAGTGAAGTCTGAAGACATGGATCACAAAAGTTCAAGTGCTGGATCTCAATTAAAAGAATCAACGATCTAGCCTCATCAATGTATAAACCCACACGATCACTTAATGAGCTGGAATAGTGAGTTTTGACCATTGGCCCCGTTGCAGCTGCCAGTTCCCTGGACTGGAGTATTGCAGAAGTATTTGGCCCAAGTTCAGCAGCAGAAAAGAGGAGGAGTCTGGGTTGTTATAAACCAACAGTCCGTTCATTTTGAAAGTAGAGGGAGGGGAAATGGGGAAGAGCAGCCACAGAGAAGCTGCCAGGGCTTCTCTTACAGATGGGTAGGAGGCCTCAGAAACCTGTAGCCGTAGCAAATCAGCCACAGGACCAGAAGAATCAGCTAGCCCAGCAAAAGACCACCACCTCCACTCATCTGTAGAGAACCCCTTCAGTGTGGCCAGCCATATTTGAAACAAGTTTGTATCTTGAGACATGAGCAAGTCTTTGCAGCCACCTCCTCTTGGTGTGAAAATGCATATGATAATTAAAACAAGCATATAAAGACACACACCTACAGTATGTGAGAGTAGGTCCTACTCACAGGCATATGTTCTTTTTTTATCCATCAACCATACAAAAGTAAGGCTTAATTCAGTGTAGCAACACTGCAGTATTAACATATATGGGGCAGAATGAATTGAAGCTCACTTTTGCTATAACACACGATGTCCTTAAAAAGATTGATACAATTAGGGGACTGGTCAAGAGTGACAAATGTCACAGAACAGATACAACTAATACCTACTACCCAACCCAAATATAATTCCATAAAAGCAACACCTTTTTTTAGACTCAGAATAGCGTAACCAGATCTTAGACACAGGAAAAGCACTGATGTGACAGACAGGAACGTCATTCTTGGGCTCAGAAGACCTGCCTGTCAAGATGATCAGACATGCTGCATTTACAACTACAAAGATAAAAGCTCAGGATCAAGGTACTGAAGTTTAACAAGTTACAATGCATCAACTGAACCACAGCAAACATAAAGCAAAGTCACTTAGCTTAACCTCATACCACTGTGAACTAAACAAAAATAATTTACCTTACACTTCCAGCAAGGTAAGAGTATGCCTGTATAAGATTACTACAGCTCAGAGACTCTACGCTGGCCTGTTAAACAGCAGTAATAGGATAAGGAGTCCAGTCCTCAAGTCACCAACCTGAATAGACAAAACAGCCCAAATGCATCTTTTATAAGACAGATTGTTCACAGATCAAGTGCTGCTGAAGCCATGAAGGAATAGCACATTTTGACCTATTAGACTATCCCCGGGAGATACTGTTGCTTGGTGAACGTAACAGTAGCACATGCAAAGAAGTGCATTAGGAGACAGGTGAATCAAGGATAAAATTGGGACTTACCACTCAGAGGTCTTTCCTTTAAAAACTGAGAATATTCTTCACCTCCATTAATCCACTACTATCACCAGGATCAGAGAGATTTCAAGATGACAGCTATAAAATAAGGCAGAGATTTTCCAATTAATAGTTCTGCAGACAAATCAGTGGTACATTGGGTATCTCAAGTGGTTAGAGTAAACAAACTTCTTGGGACAAAAATGCTAAAAATTGGTAAATATCATAATAAAAATAAAAGTGAGTACTGTGCTTAATCTTTTAACATTATTTTAGACAGTCTATACCTGGCAGCACCCTAAATTTTCTGTATGTCAGCAGTTCTAGTAATGCTTTTTTGGTTCCGGGTGATAAACTTTTGCTTTTTTTTTTTTTTTAAACCATACCCACAGAAAAAGTGAACTAGTTCCCTTCAGAAAATAACAGTCCCTTTTTCTCAGAAGTATGACAACATCACTGTGAGACTTTCCCCTAAAACACAGTGATATCGAGCATCACCCCTGCACTGCTGCATCACAGGGCAATTCCTATCTAAATACTTCTGCTCTCTGACTCCTCATTTCAGATTTCACAGCCATACACCCAGAAACAAAGCAGACTTCAGGTCTCTTTCCAGTAACTCTTTCCCATTTGGCTTTGAAAAAAGCTCAGGGATAAAGTGGCCTTCCCTGTGGTTGTAGGTAATTTCTTCATGGGAAGTAAATGTAAGCACTGATTTCAGGCAGACAGCTTCTTATTCTGTAGGTAACTTCACTGATGTAAGCAGGGCATGACAACAACACAAGAAAAGCACCAACATTTGACGTAAGTGGTTTCCAATACTTAGGATTGGGTGGAGCATAGGAAGAATCCAAATTCCCAATTCCCAACTGTGCCTGGGGGTCTCTGAGGACAACTGCCAAAGTCCAAAGAGGGATCCAATATGCATCCTCAATAAGCACGGGAGCTCTCAACAGTCTTGTGCAAATTCACCCGCTTTAGAAGTCAGAGCGGAAATACTCCTGAATAAATACACATAGCTCTGAACCAGTTCACTTTGCATGGATGAAGTAATCTATTTTGAAACGAATTAAAAAAAAAAAAAAAAAGCGTGGCAGAGAATCTGTGGGACCCAAGGTACATCAAAAGGAGGGCCTAGCAAAGCCTAACACAGCTAACACATTCTTAACGACTTCCTTGCTTCATGTTTAATGCAGCAAAACTACTTTAAATATTCCAGTGGCAGGAATTAAAAGCATTAAGAGAACAAAAAATATTTATCTCTGCTGAGACCTTAGGTTCCTCTGACTACATCTGTTGCTTTCAGAAAGCTACACCCAAGTTCAGGCTGAAATCTGTTGGTGCTTTAGACCTCAGCTTGCATCTGGCTTACACCACGTATCCCCAGAAGCCTTCAGCAGACAGATTTCACAGCTACTAGTTATCTCATGTGATTTTTCACCTCTTTATTACAAGACTTTCTAACGTGCCAACTGTGGAAGCCTAAGCAGGCTGGTTCAAGCCAGACTGGTGCTGGTCACATCAGCAAAATCTGAAGAAGGAACAACCTGAGCCCATCCGTCGCTCCCATCCCACTCCCCTGACCAGGCTCATGCCACTCACGGGAGAGTGCAAACAACTGGCTTAGAGTTCACACAAACATGAGCGCACACACATCCTCGATAAGAACGGTAATGCTGATACAAGCAAGCACATCCTGTTTCAGCTGGTTTCCGACAGCTACAGTAACCTCTTAACTTTGCTTAAACCATGGTCAAATACCAACCTTGTATTCTGCCTTCCAACTAACCACTTCTCAGTCCCAAAGGTCTGCAAGAAGACAGGAGACACGGAAGCTAAAGCAGCGTTTTCTGTTGCCCAAAGAAGCCACATGCAGCCAGCTCAACACTCACCTGCAAGTGCTAAACCCTGCAGATTTTGCTGGTGAATCAGAATATGATGCCATTTTGGTTTAAAAGAAACTACTTTTTTTCTTCTAAAACCGAACAGCTGAAAGTCCTAGTAGTATTTTTGTTTTCTGTACATTGCTTGGTATCTTTCCTCATGTTTGCTTGCCCTATTTCAAACTTCCTGAGCATTTACATTCCAACAGGGAACAACAACAACTCAGTTAAAAGTTGCTTTCAGTGGTCCACTGGAAGTTTTTTCCTTTTATGAACACCATAGAAGACAAATATATACATCTTTATAATTGTGAATGATACCTCCTCTGTCTGTTCATATAGTGAATTACAAATTATTTCCCTCCTTCTCAATCTGCTTTGCTCTGAAGTTCTACCTTTGCAAGAGCTCTCATTACATGTCAAAATCATTAAGATGAGACGTTCAGTTAAAATATTAATCCTGCATAAACTATCTCACTGTACTTCAACAACAAAAGAATATTAGAAAGTAATATGATTTTGCACCATTTACAGCTGTGGATGTCTAAACACACACTACAGGGGTCAGGTGTTTGCTACGTATTTTCTTTAGACTGCATGGTTTTAGAGGCAGAAATCTAAATCCATAGGACTGAGATTTGATAAGGCAAGAAGGTGAGCTTTTGGTGTAAAACAGATGGCATCTGTCTCTGCCTAAAACTAACAGCAAGAGTTTATCGTGTGACTTTCAGGTTTAATTGCCTGTAACAATCCTAGCCAGTACAAAGCACAGTAGGAAGTCAGTTAATAAACTTACAACAAATGCAGCAATTGTTATAGATACAAAATTATGAGAATGTTTTAAAAAAATAGAAACTCCTCTCCTAAATGACTTACATTTTTCCTGCAACAAACATTTAAAGGCACTTTTCCCATCTCCAGTATCTAAGATTTGCAGAGAAATAAGAGTTTGATCCAAAACTCACTGATGTCAGAGGGAGAGACAAATAAGACAATAAAAGAGGAAAATATCCTGGTTGTACAAGGTCTGTTCTGACCAGTTTAGTGTCTGGCTTTAGCAATCTGTAATGACATGAACAGGAGCAGGGAACAAAGACTCTTGAGCTTGAGACTTGGCAGATATCATTAGCAAAGATGAGGCTGATATTTAGCGCAGTCTTGGTTCCCCGTGTACTTAGCATCATTCACTCTATTCACATACTGTGACCTATTTAGGCTCCTGCAACAAAACAGAACTTGAATTTCTTCTTTAAAAAAAGATTGCTTGGAAAAAGACTGGAAAAAATTACATCACTTCATCCTGTCTTCTCTTACCTACAAATGTTTCCAGTCTGTTCTCCCTACTACCTGAATATGCACTCCTTAACACTCTGCAGCTGAATTTAGGAGTTTGCATGTGTATATGCAACGTATATGCATAGGTAAGTTCACATATTTGTAAATGTATCTCCCCCCGAGTTGTGTATACCCCTATTTCTGAGCAGAATCCCATCTACAGATGTCCTTATTTATTTATTCTCTCTGTGGTTTAAGCCACAAATTAATCAATGTGGGTTTTCAGAATTTGTCTTAAGAAAATCTGTCATTATCAGGTCAAGTTCAAAAAGGAAAGCAGCAAACGGGTCAAAAGAAAGAAAATACAGTATTTTGATAGGCCTTCTCATTGTTCGTAGAGAGCACCTGAACAACACACTAATAACAGCTACCATTTCCAGTTTCACTGGAAAAGCAAATCTCAAGGGTAGCAACAATTCTGTCCAACAAATAAATGATCACAATAACTTATTCTCATCAGTTGTCTCCTTTTCTTGCTCCATAACCCTTAAGCGTTTTCCTTGCCTCATTTCAATTTCTCATGCCTTAAAACAATTTCCTGTGTTAAAGCTTGCATTCACGTTGCAAGGGAAAATCATATGGCAAAAAACGCATCCTTTTCCCAACGCAAAATCATTTTTGATCAAACTATACCTACCTGTAACTACCACAGACCTCACATCCATGTGTAAAACTGAGCTTTCATTACTAACATACATACCATATTTAGGACCCCAACTATCATCTCATTCAACTGTCCAGAACAGAGGCATTCCT